TTGCTCTAAGGTCATTACCAAACCTTAGACCACTGTGAGACACGTGGAGGTGTCTAACAGTCGTTTAAATTAATAGAAATTCTTATTTCATTTATGTTGTGAGAATTAAATGAAATAATTAGTATAAATAATAGGCTTTTTACATTATTCTCAGTATTTTAATTACTATATTATCAATAATAAACATTATTAATATTTATATTAATAAATATCACTAATAAATGTCATTACTTCATATGAAATAAAAATATTTCCTGTTTTACATGTTCTCTTTGTACAATTTAGACATTTTAAGTCTAGTCTCAAATTTCCTAGTAAGACTGTATGTTCTGCCAACACCCTGATTTTACACCCAGTGAGCCTCGTGTCCGATTTCTAACCTACAGAACTGCAAGATAATAAATTTGTGTTGCTTTTTAGCCACTAAATTTGTGGTGATTTGTTATGGTAGCAATAGAAAACTAATCACATGGCAAGAGTTCTAAGTATTCCTACAATAGATTCCTACAATATACCTAATAGCATGGTCCCAATTATAGGGCAATTGAGAGGTAACGTATGGTTGCCATCACTGAGTTGGGAAGCACTCATCTCAAGTGAAAAGAAATATCTTTGCATTCACTACAACAGCTTTTAAGATCGTTTGCAAAACATACAAGGATGGACTATTCCCTCTGGTACTTAATCCTATTGCGATATGTTTTACCGTTTCTTAGTATATGTCCAGTCTCCCCAACTGCCTTACTTTCCTGAAGTTGAGCTTCAGCTGCTCTTCCTAATAACTCCCTAACTCTATCACTGCACTAAACACCTGGAATAAGTGAATTACGTGTGGATTTCATGAGACATGACTAAATCATATGATCTGTGATCTTAATCACACTAATTGTATCCCACTAAAATACAAGGTCCTGAAATACATAGACCTTTCTTATTGTATATTCTTAATAGTTCTCCAAAGTAGCATGGGTATAAAATCCTCCAGTGTGGGAAAGGGTAGACTGATAAAAGGCCACGGTAAAGGGTGTGTTCTATGGTGAAAGCCATGTAGTTTTGAGTGCTCATGTAGCATTGGGGCAAAAGTTGCTACCCTTGGTCAAACATCTGTCTTTCAACAGCCCCACCCTGATCCTTGCAGTGGAAGGGGTGAGCTAAGAGGAACGCTTGGCAGTAGGTCATATGCCTCCAACAGTGGTGCTGCTGGAAAAGCACAAGCCATGAAGATGTTCCTGGTATTTCAACAAGAGTGCCAATATTCCAAAATCCCCTCGTCTGCCTATCTCCTTTGTACATAGATTCAAAGATTCTCAAAGTCAAATAATACCTCTCAAAATGTATACAGAATGTATCACAAGAGCATGACAAAAACAGGTCTGCTCAGAGACAGCGCTTTGTACAGTGGGCTTCCTCTAAGTAAGGATCCACTCTGTGAGTTGCCCTACCCTTGTTTTACTGTAATTTCTTAGCTTTTCCCTCTGGGATCATTCATTTTAGATTTTGTAGCTTTTTAAATGTTTTTTGTTCAACATGGCAGCAAGGATGGAAGGAGTATAATACACAAGGAAATCTAGTGTTAACCAAGATTCTGCTGCCCTGAAACCTTTGCCTCTGTTTTAGATCCTCAAAATTGAGATTTTAATATCATTTCAAAGCTGTCTTTATGATATACTGAAGATACGAAAGATCATAAATACTAAAAGGAGTTGGTCTCCCTGGAAAGGGGAATGGCCAGGGGTGCGGGGGTGTGATCATGTCCATTTAAACATTTTTCTTTCTACCATAAGCTTTGCTCTCAACCTGTTATTATTTTGAAAAGGACATGTTTCTAAAGAGACATAGAGCCTCTTTACATTTAATTTCTAAAACTATGCATTTGAGAATAAGTTTAATGAAACTTTTGATGATTTTTCAATATGTAAAGTATAACCGAATCACCTTACCTTGGCCATCACTTATGGTTTAAATTTAACTACACACATAGCTCAGCTGAAGTTAAAGCCATTTGCAGTACATGTAAAACAATGACACAGGAATTTAGACATTGTGCAATAATTTTTCTACTCCCTGTAGATGAAGGCAGCAGCCTCATCATATTCTTTCACTCCTGAGAGAACATTTTAAGCACTAACTATATCATAATAGAGCCAGCCTGCTCGGCCACAAAGACGAAAATGGAACAAATTTAGATAATTACTCACTGGAATGCAGTGGATAATTACGGGACTCCTTTACTTTAACTGGAATATAACTCTTAATTATCTCAAAAGCCTGACTTTATATAATCAGAAACCATTACCAATCAAAGAAATTACACAAAATGGTAAAACCTTAGATCATTGAATTGTAAAAGAGCTAAAAAGAAATTTAATATTGGTTAAAAATAGCACAGGGAATAAGAATATTCTTCTGATGCTGCATCAGACTTTAGTCTTTAGGCTCAGTATCTTGGTAACACTCACCCTGACTACGAGCAGATTTCTTCAATATTTTTTACAATAATCTATTTTAGAAAGAATGCGTCTGAGAGCTTAACTGGCCTTGGTTTTCCTTTCATGTCCCAAGTTGGTATTAAGTCTCTTTCTTCTCTGATTCATACTCTTTCCTTTTTTTTTTTTTAAATTACACATAGTGATAGATTTGTTCTTCAAAAGAATATAAACCAGGAATAAAGTAGCTAAGCCTTAGGCCATCGTTCCTGAAAGAAGGATCCCAGTCGGGGTAAAAACGGGGACTGTCTTAGTTAATTCTGGCTTCACACTTTGGAGCAACGAAGATGATGGAAAACTGTTACAATAATCATCCCCTATATTTATTGCTTATTTGTAGTACTTGGCAGAACATTTGGAATTAAATTTAAATCCTCCCAAATTGTTTGTCATAGATACAACAGTAGCTATTTTTTGTACACCTATTGCATGTCACTCACTTGCTTTACATAGAATGTTTTAAATCCTTTACTTGCAAATTTTGAATTCATACCCCCATTTTATAGCCAAAAAAAAGGTTCACAGGCCTAAAAAGGGAATGAGTTAGGATTTGGAGCCAGTGTGACATTCCTTGTGTCACTGCCTGACCTCCAGCGAACTGCCTTCCTGGGCCAGTGCTTCTACACTGCTATGCAGGACAGGGCATGGGTGTCTTGCTGCTGAAATTACTGTGTGATTCCAGTGACTCCCTGACCTTTTACTTCTCTTCCTTTGCTTCAAGAATGCAAACCACAAATGAATTCTCAATACTGCCTGGGAACCCCACCATGCTTCTGCCATAAATTCACTTTGCCACTCTCTGATATGACTGTGGCGTACTTTCTCTTTTCTCTTCAAACTTTCTACTCCCCAAATTCAATCTCATTCTCCCCATCACTTCCACCTCTTTGAAACAGAGGCTTTTCTAATAAAGATCTTCAGCCTCCCACCAGTGAACCCATACATCTATCTATGTACATCTCTATGCAGGTTCTTCTTCCTCCAGCAACAATAAATTGTTCCTGTTCAGTTCATGCTCCATCCCTTCACAATTAATGACAGCCTCACCTCTCTTCTCAGATTACCTCTTCCTTCTTTTGCATTTGCCATTTTGCCCAGTCTACTGGCCCAATCCTGACACCAAACAAAGACACTCTATTATCTCTCATTTCTTAAAAAAAAAAAAAAGACAATAAAACATCCCCTTCTACTCACATTCTTCTCAGCTATAGCCCTACTTCTCTGCTCCTTTACATCTGTCTTTACTTCCTCATCTCACATTCACTCTTCGGCTGAGTTTAGTTTGATATCTATGCCCTCTGCTCCATGGAATCTAATATTATCTGTATTGCCAATCTCCTTGTTGCTAACCTCTGGATGTGACCTGCACTCATCTTGTTTGACATTTTGACAGCATCTGACAGAAGTGACCACGCCGTCTGTTTTTACTGTTCCTTAGTCTGCTTACCTGAGACACAAGGCGTCCTTCCTTCCTGCCTTTCCTTGTCGCCATCCAATTGCTTCCATTTGGCTTTCTTAGCTGGATTTTTATTTCTAGCCAAAGCCTAAATGTTGGGTCTGCTCAGGGCTCAGGGTTGGAGGGCCATTTGTCAAGTTGATTTTATATACTCAGTCATTCTCAGTACACTGACTCATCCATCCTTGTGGGTTTAAATACCATTTTTATGCATATAATTCCCAGTTTTTTAATCTCAAACCCAGATTGCTTCTCTCCAAATCTTATACATCTTGCTGCCAGGTTGATATTTTCATTAGATACTTCACAAAACAAATTAAGAGAAGGGAATAACTTTTGCACACCATTTGTTCTGCCTAGCAAGTAACATACATGTAGAGGGAGGTCAGTATCTCATGGATTCAAGGAAGGTGAGTGAAGCTTTAGGGTCTACCAGGTCTCAAGAGTGGATTTTATATCAGTTTTGCTTTTCCCTTTTGTTCCAGTTTCACTGGGAACTGAATCACTGCATTTGCAAACAGTTGTAATGTCAAAGGAAATGTAAAGGAAGCGCTATGATCACTCAAAGTAGAAGTCCTCAGTCAAGGATAAGCCTCGCAGTCTCACTGCAGAACTCTATTTCACAATTAAAGCTTCACAACTTTTCTATCTCATAGCATTTTCGAGTGTACATGATTAATTACAGAAATAACAAAAACTGGAAATTATAAGTTGAAAAGGCCTTGTAGCCAAAGAGAAGACCCCAGTCATCTAAGAGTCAGCTGTGACACCACACCAACAAATCTAGCTCTCTGCCTCTGTATTAGGTAGCCAAGAAAGCGAGTCTTCGGATCCTTCCTAGACAAGTGAAGACACACTCACAAACATTCCAAGGCCTTACCACCTAAGGAATACAGTAGGTACATATATATGCTCTAAGTTTTTTAGATTATTTCTGGATTGGTGAGTTATGAAATGAAACATATACTTTCCTAAGACAAACTGATGGCATTAAAGAGACTGTTCCCCACGAAATGTAAAAATGTTTCAAAATCATTTGGCAATTTTGATGTACTTACCAGGCACATAGGGTGGGTAGTTTAGATTATTCTCTTCACAATTTGGGTGATGGTCACTGTGAAAATTGGCTGGTTCATTCATATCCTTACATAAAAATAGAAATTTGATGAGCAATAATGTGTATAGTTTTGTGACTTTCCATCATGGAAACAGCACATAAACCTCATCCATACATTCAACAGGCATATTTTGAGTATCTAAATGCGTGAAACGTTAAGATAGGAGCTCTGTGAGGCATAGCAATAAACAAGATAGTGTCCCTGGTCTCAAAAAGTATATACTGGCAGACTAGCAAGTTACACAAATATATAAATTCACGGAACAGAAATAGATACCACCATTTCTGTTCTGTGAAAAGTAATTCACACCTCCCAATGGTTGTGAACACAAATCATTCGTCATTTTTCTCTTGTAGCTCATATCTAATCTGTCAACCAATCCTGTCAACTCTATCTTAAAAATATATACATAATCTGACCACATCTCATTCATTGCAGTGCCACTATCCCAGGCTACACTACTATTGTCTCTCTCTCTCTTTTTTTTTGTTTTTTTTGTTTTTGTTTGTTTGTTTTAGCTGGGCCATCCTACCACCTTTTGGCAGCTCAGCAGAAGCTCAGCTTGGGCCGGGAATCGAACTGCTGTTGCTCAAAGCTTAAACTCTTGAGTGAGCTCTTAACCAACTGAGCCACTCGGCCAGCCCCCTACTATTGTTTTTTGCCTGGACTATCACAACAGCTTCAAACTAGTCTCTCTTCCACATGGGCCCAGAGGTAGATTTACCTGGAAGTCAAAGAAATTTAAGTTCCATGGTCCTTTTTTGCATGACCCCTTCATATGCTTATACATAAAATTCTATTTGTAATTTTTTATAATTTTTCTTAAAGAGAGCTGCCCAAATCTTATAAAGCTCCATAAAACCTAGATTCATCTCTGCTTTCACATTGTTTTGGGCCTTCCAGTATTCTATTCTCAATGTAGTGATTAGAATGATGCTTTGAAAACCTCTGCTCAAAACCCTTCAGTATTCTTCCATCTCACTCAGAGTAAAAGCCAAAGACCTTGCAATTGGTCAGTTATGCTCTTTGTGATAACGCCTTAATATCTCTCTGACCTTTTTCTTGATTGTCCCTGGTTACGATGCTCTAAACCATACTGTCCTTGCTGTCCCTAGAAAATGCCAGGAATGTTGTGCTTCAGGGTTTTTGTTTTGTTTTTAAGATTTCATTGGGGAACAGGGGGAGGGGAACAGACAAATTGCTGTCCTTTTGTTCTTCAGTCTAGATGTGGAGGATGTCACTTCACTGGCCCATGATGGTATTATCATTGCACTCTTCCCAGGTGAGGCAGTCACTCGCTGGCCATTGGATGGCCGCTCACAGTGACTCACTGCAGCTCATGAAAGCTCACACCCACTGCTGGCCAGCCCCACTACACAGCCTATGCCGTCACCAGCGACTAACTGCCCAGCTCCAGGTTGAGCTGTTGTTCACCATCTTAGCTGTAGAGGGCGCAGTGTCACTGGTCCACATGTGGGATCCAAACCAGGGCCCTGCTGCTAAGAGCTGGCATCCCAAGCCAACTCCTAACCAACACGCCACTTGGTCAGCCCTTCAGGGCTTTTGAACATGCTGTTCACTGCCAGTATGTTCTTCTCTTCTTAGATATTCCCAGGGCTCAGCCTCTAGTCTTTGTTATCAATTATCACCTTCTCTGACTATCCTATTTAAACTTCAAACTTTTTGAAGTTCCCAAATTTACTACACCCCCGGTCATGGTCTTAATGTTTGTTGTCCCCCCAAAATTCACATGTTGAAATCCAAACACCTAAAGATGATGTTATTGAAGGAGGGGCCTTTAGGAGGTGATTAGGTAATGAGGGTGAAGGCCGTCTGTATGGGATTAGTGCCCTTATAAAAGAGACCCCACAGAACTTTCCAGCCTCTGCCACCATGTGAGGATTCAACAAACAGTTTGAGACCTGGAAGACAGCTGTCACCTGATGATGCTGGCACCCTGATGTCGAACTTCCAGCCTTCCAGAACTGTGAGCCATCAATTTCTGTTGTTTATGAGCTACTCAGTCTGAATGGACTAGGCAGCCTGAATTGACTAAGACACCTACTCCCAAGGTTAATTTTTCTCTTTTACTATCACCTAACACACTACATATTTTACTTATTTATCTTGTTTATTGTCAGTATCTTCCACTAAAATGTCAGCTCCATGAAAGCAAGAATTTTTCTAAGTGTATCTTCAATGCCTCCTGACAGAGTAAGTACTCAATAAATAGGTGTTTGCTGAAATAAGAGAAAGGAAGAATTACTTCGAGTATGAGTACCACTGAAGACTTCATGGAGAAGTTCATATGGAGGCTGCACATTGAATATGTAGAAATGAGGAAAAATGCAAAGGAGAGCATGACCAAAGGCATATGAACAACAAATTATGCTGCATGCAGAGAAAAATGCCCCTCTGTTGAGTAGTAGAAATTGTCTAACCTTCATTCAACTGTCTAGTCACATGATTCTGTTTGCAAGTGTTTCTCTGGCAGAGAGGAGCCTATTATACGTACAACTTGCAATTGTACCAGTAGCACTAGATCAGCACCCCCTCTTTCCTCTGCACTCTTGCACATTCAGTTCCTACTACCTGAAACACTTCCACCCATACCCACACCCTGCTTCACTCAGCTACCTCCCATTCATTGGCCAGTCCTCATCTTAACCATCACCTCTATTGGTAAGTCTGGATTTCTCCAGACTTGAGTTCAATGGACCTGAGTGTGATGCCCTTCACCTCTGTACCCATTGTATCCAGTGCTTGCTCTGTCATGGTCATACAATAGCTTGTTTGTCAGACTATCTCCCCAATGACTGCCTCCCACCACTCTGCACAGAGTAGGTATAAACCATAATGAGTGCATAAACCAGTCTCATCCAGAGTAAAATGAAGTAAGGATCAAGATGGCAGAAAAGATGACACCAGTCTTGGAAAAAGTAGTTCTCTTCTCCAGAGGTGCATTAGAGGAGTTAAGGCAAAGACTACCAGGAAACAAGAAGGAAAATTTTTTTCACTTTCTTCAGCTTGCTATATGAAAAAAGACAAGTAGATGAACATCTTACTTTTTCACCAAGGAAAAAAAATTAAATAATAAGTTAAGACTTACAATCCAGATCCCATCATAATCAAGGACGTTTTTGAATTCTGTACACATATGAATCCACCATTCTGCTGTTTGGGGATTGGTGTAATCTGGATACACTGAATCTCCTGGAGGCCAGGCCTATGATGCAGAAGTAAGTCAAACTAAATAATGCAACTTACAACAGAGAAGTAAGTCAAACTAAATAATGCAACTTGCCTAATACAGCATAGAAATCTCAGTAGGAGCCTTACTTTGCATTTTGAGTCATACAAATAAAAATTGAGAATCATTGGAATTAAATAACTTATCCAAGTACATAGAAAAAGTACATGACAAGTTCATAGTAGAATGGGAATGGAATCCTATATCCCTGTCCAGTTGTCTTCAACCGTGAAATTGTGCATGAAATAATATTTTATTGTTCTTTTATTATTTAGCCATTTCTCTCCACACATAAATCTATATTAATACAAATATAGGGATTAGGAAATGCAAAAATTACACTTATAATAGCAAGAAAATTTTAATATATGTATGGTGTCAATAAGAGTCATAAAAATAATATAAAGAAAACTATAGAATGTTTATGAAGTATTCAAAAGAAGACATAAATTGAGAAATACAGCATGTTTGTGGATGGGAAGACTCAATATTGTATAGATGTTAAGTTGCTTCAAATTGGGACATAAATTTTTAGGTGTAATCATTACATTTAAAAAATTTATATGGGCATGAGACAAGAATATATAACACTGTATTAACATGTTTACTGTAGCATTGTTTATAATATTAAGATATTAGAAACAAGAAAATGTTCATCATTAGAAATTGGTTAAACTAATTTCCTTACATAAGACCAGTGGAATATCACATAATTATTTAAAAAGATGAGATAGAGATAGTTTTATATGTATTGACATATACACACACACACACACACACATATATATATATATATATATATATATATATATATATATATATATATATGTGGTGTCAAAAAAACCATATATACATTATAAGAAAGGAAAACTGTATTAAAATTGTAATACTCAATATATGCTGATAACAAAAGATGAATACAAGTCACACTTGACTTTTACAATTACAAGAGGTGCTCAAAGTGGTTACCATCAGCATCCAGACACTTCTGATTATGGCGTACTACTGCTTGAGCAACGTTGACCAAATTGTCCACTTGTATACATTTTTTTGGCACCCTGTAATATTGTTATAGTTTTTTAAAGAGCTTTAAATGTTACATGTTGTATTTCCCATTTATGTAAAATACAGTTACATGTATTCAAAAATCTGGAGGAATATACACTGAAATGATTAGATTTGTATTTTGAGAAAAGGACTGTCTCTTTCTACTGTTTCTAAGTCACTATAACATATGTTTTTTAATAATATGGTACACTTTGATCATCAGCAAAAGCATTAAAGATATTTCCATTATGTAAAAGAAAAAAGTGAAGAACTTCCTTTCACTTAAGAAATATACGTATCACTCCTTAATTTTCCAATATAATCTCAATCGACATTAACTGTAATTTTGTAACACTTATTAAAATGTGCCTTTTTAGAATTTTACACTGTGTATTAGTATATTCTTTGGATTTCTAACAAATTCTATGGGACTTAAATAATTTCTTTAAAAGTCATATATATTATCCATGCCAATGCTCCAATCTCAGCTCGAAAAGCTACACATAATTTTTTTCAACTGAACTCAGGTGATACCAGTTCACTGATGCCATAGGAATTGTGGTTGTTTATCATATACTCAATACAGAAGGAGGTTTTCATCTATTCTTCAAGGTGCTTACTTTGCCGACAAATGGTGTGACTCCATCAGAGTTATTGACCCAAATTCCCAACTCCTCTCCAAGTTCATAGGGCTTGTAAGTACCTTGTGGTTCATCTTTTGTCAAAAAAGGATCCTGCAAATTCCCAAGAACATTATAATTGGTAATAGTCTGAAATTGATATTTAAATATAAACTTTCCAAAAATATTTGAAATATGAATATCTAATATTCATATAAACAGTGACTTTTATGCTGCATACAGGAAGATGGCCGCATCTATTAAGTATGGTTACAAATATAAAAACTGTCACATTCACATTTCCATTAATTTTTTAGTGCTGCAAAATGTGGATCCAAGCAAGCAATATCAATTTAACAATGTAATCAGTTGCTTCTAATTTTCTTTACCTGAAAAGTTATATAAGTAGATAAATCTAATACTCAAGCTATTTGGCAAACAGCGTTTTCTATTTTTGTTTGTTTGTTGTTTTTTATATGCGATAAGGCTGTGAAATTATAAAACAAATAAACAAAAAAACCCTGGATGGGGAAATCAAGAAATTTGTATTCTACTCTCAAAAGACTATCTACAAAAAGCCTGTTCAAGCCACTTAATTTTAAGAGGACAAGTTTCTCTTTCACAAAATGAAGCATTGTAGTTGGCAAATTCTTAAAGTCACTGTCCCTCTTAAAAAGTCAAGTCTTAAAATGAATGAAAGGAAACAATGTCTGAGTCTATATTTAATTTTTTCCAAAAATATTTATTAACCCTTCTCCAAGTCTGTTTCTCTTGCTAAACATTTTAATATCATAATATATTTATAAGTATTTTTCTTCATACATTCCTGTTAAATTATCTCAGTTGGTAAATATATTTTTATTTATAATAAGCCATTCTTAAAAAATAAAAAAGAAACTCTGTCTGCAAACCTCTAGCATCATTAAGTCCTATGGGAATTATAATACATACTGACATTTTTATTATATTAAAATAAAAAATATTTTTAAAATTTAGACTGTCTCGCATCTGCATTATGATAAATACTTTAATACGAATCTATTTTTAGTAACATTCATGCTCCTAGAAGCAGTTATAGAGACTTTTCTTTTTATATTATAAATGTATTAAATGAAAAATAATGTTGTACTGCAACATGGAGAAAAGATTTTTTCAAATTAAGTTCACTGCATTTATTCAAAAACTATACTATTCTTTGTTTAGGATAGTATATGGCCAAGTCTTCAAATCTGACAGACAGGGTGATGTGTGGAAAAACAGCTTTTCCTTCTAACTGTAAGTCAATTTTTTTTAAAAAAAGAACACTGCAGTTTTAAAAATTGTTACTGAATTCCTTTATCACTTGACATTTTTCTATCATTGAATAATAGAAAAGTTGCTTATAGTTTATTATTCTTTAAAAAATATAACATTTATCATTATATAGTACATAAAATTTTGTTCCTCAGAAATACATTAGTGCTGGTTATTCTTTTTTGCTAAATTAATTTTAATATATATTTTTAGAAATGCTTATAAAATATTAATTTAGATATTGTATCTTTGCTCTTCAAAATAAATTTACCAAAATAATGACATAATGCAGTCCATCGTTTTTCAGTTCCTTAATGTACTCGGGCAGACCAGCGAAGTTAGCTTTATCATAGGTGAAGTCCAAGTGACGTTCCATGTAGTCAATGTCACCATACTGAACATCCTGTACAAAAGAGCAATGCAGACAGACCCTTCAAACATTAGAAAAACAGACAAATATTGTCAAAGCATCAGTAGCAGCTAATAAGTGACTGTATACAATTTGAAATATTGGTGTGAGTGTCAGATTATCCTGTAAGAAAAGAGAATGAAAACAATTCTGTATTGGAAACTGAGATAATGCAGAAATCCCCCACTTAAAACCCTTTCTGTGGTTTGTTACCCATAGTCAGCTGCAGTCCAGAAATATTAAACACAAAATCCCAGAAATAAGCAATTCACAAGTTTTAAACTGTGTGCTTTTCTCAGTAGCATGATGAAGTCTCCTGCCATTCTGCTCCGTCCCACCTGGGATGTGAAATCATTTCTTTGTCTAATGTATCCACGCTGTATACATCCCTGTCTGTTAGTCATTTAGTAGCCAGCTAGGTTATCATATCAACTGCCTCATTTTCACAGTGCTTGTGTTCAAGTAACTCTATTCTACTTAATAATGTCTCCAAAGCACAAGAATAGTGATGCTGGCAATTTGGATATGCCAAAGAGAAGCTGTAAAGTGCTTCCTTTAAGTGAAAAGGTATGTAAACATAGGAAAAAACATGGTATACATAGGGTTTGGTAGTATGCATGGTTTCAGGCATCCACTGGGGATCTTGGAACATATCCCCTGTGGATAAGAGGGGGACTACTGTAACACACAAATGTATGTGTACACACACACACACACACACACACACACACACACACACATATACACACATATACATATGTATACAAACGTGTGTATATACATATATATTATATATAGCATATATGTTAACATATATGCTATATATGTTTGGGGTACACTTACATGAGGAATATCATACTGTCTTAAACGTTCAACCGTTTTTTTCAGCACATCTATGCTATTATAGCCCCATCGACACAGCTGAAATCCCAGTGACCAATATGGAGGCATATAGGGACGTCCAATAGCCTGTGGAGGGGGGAAAAAAGTATTAAATTCAAATAAGTTAGTTAATGTTCACAAGTTAAATGTTTGCTTCTGGTACAGCAATTCCTGTCAAATAAAAACATTATGGTGTGTCCTCATCCACCTTATTCACCGGATCTGGCAATGTGCGACTTCTGGCTCTTCCCCAAAATGAAAATGACCACGAAGGGTAAACGTTTTGAATCAATTCAGGACATCGAGGCATCCATGATAGCGCCACTAAAGACACTCACGAAAGAGGACTTCTAGAGCTGCTTCAGAAAGTGGCAAGAACAATGGGATAAGTGTGTTCAAAATGAGGAGTATTTTGAGAGGGATTAATGGCAATGTGTCTTTTACTGTAATATTTTTTTTAAACATTTACCATAAGTTTTGATCATCCCTTGTAAGCTGTCTCTGGTAGCAACCAAAGAAACAATGATGAAAATTTGGGTCTCAAAAACTCTTTTGTGACTTTAATTAAAGCCATAGAATTTCTTCCCAAAGCATACACCTACAAAAGCAACTCATTCAATTTTGTGAGTGGGGGATTATGCTCCCCACCCCCCTCCTTTAATCCATTCCACCAGGAAGTAACATACTAGAGCTTTAAAGGCTCCGAATGAGAAAAACTTGAGTTTACATCTCAATTCTGCCTCTAATATCTGTGCCATTAAGAACATTACATAATTTTATAGCCTCAGTTTCCCTGTTTTTGAAATGGTGTAAATAGTAATACCACGTCATTCGTCCACAAGTATTTATTAAGTACGCACCATGGACTGTTTTAGACCCAAAGTCTCTGTCTTATGGAGCTTAAATTCTAGTAGAAGAAAACCAACCATAAACAGTAAACAAAGCAGCGCAATTTTTAGGAATAGAGTGTGTGGGGGTGGGAGGGAGGAATGTTAGGGAAAATCTCTCTGGCAGTAAGACCTGAATAGGTCAGGCGTGTCGAGTGCAACAGGCAGAGGGACCAGAGGGTGCACAGGCTTGAAGAGTTCAGGAAGAGAAAGATTGTGAGGGCGGTGAACTATAACAAATGAAAGGGAAAGTGGAATACAGGGGAAGGAGGCAGATATTCAATCATGAAGGGCGATAACAAAGAACTGGAAACCTTTTCATTGTCTTTTTTCTTTTTTTTTTTTTACTTTATATTAAGAAAATTGGGAAGCATATATAAAAGTAGAGAAGATAGCATAACAAACCTCCATTGAACCAGAATCAACAATTATCTTTTTGCCACACATCTTTATCTTTTTTTCTTTTGGGGAGGAAATGGGGTATTTTAGCATTTTAAAGAAAATTCCTGAAATCATGTCATTTCACCCCTAAATATACCCCTAAAAATAAGAACAATCTCTTACGTGACCAAAATACCATTACCAAACCTAACAAAATTAACCACAATCCCTTACCATCCTCAAACACTCATCTAAATTCCCCGAATTTTTCTCAAAAACGTCTTTCTTACAATTGATTTATTTGAAAGGTGAGTTATATTCATATTTCAATGGAAGCAATTAAAATGAGTAATATACCCTAATGTATACTGTAATAATACACTTTTTAAAAAAAATCACTCTGACAACTCTGGGAAATAAATGACAAGAGAGTGAAGGTGGTCACCATGAAGCCAGTTAGGAGACTGGTATGTTGCCCAGTGGAGATGAGAGTGGCTAGAACAAAGGAGGTCGCGTGGTGATACTGAAAGAGTCAGACTGGAATACATTTTGGAGACGCTGCTAACAGAACTTTCTAATGGATTTGCTGCTGTAGGATAAAGCAAAGGAAGGAATTGAGGGAGGCATTTAGTTTTGGAGTTGAACAACAGGGCCAATTAATTCCATTAGTTGAGATGGAAAAGATGGAATGAGGAGCAAGAGCGGGTTTGTGGAGAGAGAGCACCAGGCATAAGAAATGTGGAACGTACGCACTTGGCGTTATCCGCTAATAGGTGTATTTAAAGTCATGGAACCAGAAGATATGACAAGAGATAGTTCAGTTAGAGACCAAAGGAGAGGCTAAGAGTAACCTCTGGGAGACTCAACATGTAAAGGCATCAGCAAAGGAGACTGAAAGCAAGTCATTCATCATATAGCAAGGCAGCCAGGACAACGTGGTGTCAGAGAAGAGCGTGTCTAGAAGCGGTCACTATGTCAGCTGCCATCTGGATGCTGACAAAGATGAGCACAGCGACTTCATGGCTTATCTTGTGGCTTTGATAAGACCTTTGTAGAGAGTGGTGGGGATAATAGCCCGCTTGGAATGTAGTGGGAAATTGGGAGGTGAGGGAATAGAGACAGCTCATATAGCGCTTTCAAAAAGCTGTACAGAGCAGAGGAGCAGAGAGATGGAGGGTGATGTGGGTTTTTCAGAGGATATTCTTGTACAGTTTTGTTCAGGTAGGCACTCTTGATGCACGTTTGTTGATGGGAAGGACCTGGCAGAGAGGGATAAATTGATGATGCAGCTGAGTGTGGAGACAATTGAAGTGCTTCCGTAGCTGAGAGCACAGGTGGATTTTAGAGCACAGGAAGAACTGTTACACTTAGAAATGAGCAGGAACAACCTTAACAAGAAGAAAAGCAAAACACGGGCATGTATGCAGGTAAATTGAATGATTCTGTACTTGAAAAACAATGTGTTTCTTTTTAAATTGCTTCTAATTTTTTTTTGCTTCTATTTTTCTCTGGAAAATGGTGCGACACATCAACAGTCAAACTTTGGGGTAATGTTGGAGGTTTTGGAGGAGAAAGTGTGAAATAGCAGTCTCAGTGAGTGGGAGTGCAAATACACTAGTCTAGGACATCGGGTGGGCTTGCCAGACAGGGCAGTGCACTTGGAGATTACACTGAAGGGAGACTTGGCAGCACAATCACGTGACTGTTGGCCAGAAGCTTTCAGTTGCTCAGGAGCAGGTAGTGGTTTCAGTAATAAATCAGCACAAAGTTCCTGTCTGCTGTGTACATACAGCAAGTTGGGGTCAAATGCTGTTCAGGTCTGCAGTTTTAAAGTTTTCTTCTTCTAAACCCCTTTCTGGCAGATACTGTGACTCATCTCCCCCTTGGACCCTGTTATAAAGTCTAACACAGAAAAAAAATTTCTTAAATGTTAATTTATGACATGAATGAATTGAAGAGCTGCTGATATCATCCATGTTTTATGGATGGGGACACTACATCAAGAAGGAGATGTTACGACTTTTATGAGTTGATACCACGTGAAAGACTAAAACCAGAGCTGACTAGAACTGTGATTCTCAAATCTGGCTGTACATTAACATCATGTGGGGAGCTTTCAAAAACAGTTGCTTTATCCAGGGCCCACCCAAGATTAATTCAATCAGAATAATTCCATTAGAATTTCTGAGGGTGGACCCCAGGCATCCGTGTTTTAAAGGGCCTCTGGGTGATGAATGCAGAGTGAGGTTTAAGAATTACTACACTAGACTGTGAGCAGCTGGGGAGCAGATACGAGGTCCATCTGTTGTGACTCCACCTCCAGACACAGAGCAGGTCTTGTTTCGTGCACACCAACTATCTTACCGGCTGGATCTCCTAACCCTTAGCCAAGTGATTCTCCAACAACCACATTTAATGTTAGTGTCTGCTGCTGCCTTTTAAATCCACTTTCCTTCATTCTCCCTTTGTAATAAGTGGTGAATGTTTTATTTCCACTTTCTCCATAGCAAAGCAAACATCTCCCATAAAAGATAGGGGAGGCAGTGAAGGAGACGCAGACAGCCAGGATACAAGGGCCGAAGAACAGCAAGACAGGAGTCAAGGACTACAAACTCAGCCATGGAAAGAATGGAGTTCTGACGTGTGGCAAGGCTCAATTAAAAAGGAAAAAAAAAAAAAAAAAAAAAGAAGCACATTGAATGGTAGGAACCAGTACAGACAGAACATCTCAGGAAATCTGTTTTCTAGTGTTCCACAGTACCTGGAATGATATGTGTAGCAGCTTCCCTGTACCCTCAGTTCTAACATATAGCAAGAAACCTTCCTCATGCTAAACAACAAGCACAGAACAGCCACTCTGCCATATACTCGTTCAGAACTCGCCAGACACCTGGGGGGCCTGGAATTTGAAGCAATATCACTATAAAAATCATACAATTATTATAAATAATATTATATATGTAGTATATAACACATATAGTGTTAAATAAAAAACATTAAGTCTGTTAGCTATAGACAATAAATGCTCACCTAACAAACAACAATATTCCTTAAAATAAGTTCAAATATTCACTTCAAGGCATATTCCATCTCCTTGGTTCTTATTTTTTCTTAATTGTTTGTTTAATGGCGGAGGCTAAACTACTGTTAGTCTCGCTGTGGAGTATGTCCTACACTACTGTCTTTACATGCATGGCAGTACGTAAGTGTAATGTTTTATTATTTACTATTCCCAGCAATACTACGTGGTAAACAGAACAAATGCTATCATCCCTATTTTATAATAGAGGAATGTGTAGTCCAAGATCATAAATGATTCATACCAGGTTAAAAAATAGCAGGGGGCAAAACTGTAGCTCAAACTTAGATCTTCTGATTCCAAGTCTAATAACTTCTACTACCCCTTAAATACCACTGACGTCGTCCCATATTTTTAAATATTTCTTTAGGAATGCCAGACGAAGGTTGCTGAGAAGGTTAAGGGATAAAATTCTCTCCTTCATCACCATTTTCCTTATGCTGTACAGCCCCCTGATCTTAGAATGGCTTACTGTAAGAATAAATTTTATTAAATCTTTTCTATCCTAACCAAATTTTAGATTTGTTTCCCTAAGGCAGAAAGGCTGTCCTAGAATAGGCACTGTTGACAGGAAGAAGAGGGATTTAAGTTCATCTTCATGGCTTACAAGGCCATACAAGCACAATATTTCTTCATCAGACAGATGAAACAAACCCACTGTCGATTACAAATCGCCTCTCTCACTCACTGTATAGTATAGAGCCAGAATGATTTTTCTTGCTCTTATTACTTCCTGCTAC